TAATAATAATAATAATAATAATAATAATAATAATAATCTTCCAATATTAGTTACATACAATTCGAAAAAACATTTTTTTTCCTATATCCCAAAATGACTGAAAATAGAGTGTAGTCTTTAACAAAAAAAATTATTCTCAACGCCTTCCTTCCCACGCATACAGAAGCTGCTTTTTCCAAACTGGGAAATAATTCCAACCACGTTTTTTCAGGCAACAAAAAAACCAAGTGGGGGAAAGAGAGGGGCAAAAAGGATCTCACCCGGATCCTCCGCGGTGGGTCTAGTATCGCTTAGCTGTAATTGTGACTTCGGCTGGTGCAGCAGGATAATCGTCCATCTTGCAGGATGATCGTTGCTCCGTCGGTCCTAAGGAAATAGCTGGGGCCGCGGGAGAAGCTGTCACTCTCCCGCAGTCACCAGCAAGCCTCCTTCTCGGTGGTTGCCCCTCCAGGCGACTTTCGACCCACCAGGGGGTCTACCGACGCAGAAAACCCGGCCGGACTGAAGACGAGTCCCCAGATGCGACCGGCATCGCCGCGTACTGGAACCAGAAGTCCTAAGCCGACACTTTTAATATGATCAAATAACAACATTTTGCCTATCCCAGGTGCTTGGGAAGGACTTGATAGGACAACAATGCTAAATGCAATCTAAATATTTGGCTGACTGTGCAACCGACCATTATATCTTATTGCACTAAATGATAGAAAAAGCTGTGATATGTCCTTCTTTACATATCTAAAAAAAGGCCTATCGTACGCTAAAAAGGTGCCTAGTTATGAATTCATATATATTCCATGTTTTTTAGTGTGGGAGAAAAGATGTAATTCATCGTTATAAACCAGACATACCCCAAACCAAATATACCAAAAGCTTACATTGATTAGAGTATTTCCATGACTAAACAAAGACTCGAAACATCTGCACTAGTGAATTAAAGTATTTAAAGTATTAGACTATTTCTTGTATACCAGTGATTCCCAACCTTTTCTATACCCCGCACCCCTAGAATGCTTCTGATATATTCTCGCACCCCTTACAAAAGTTCAAAATAATGGCAATGAATAATGCATATAACACTATAATTTTGAAAACCCAAGTTTTCGCACCCCCTGAAATATCATCTCGCACCAATATTTTTTTTAAAAAATAAAACTCCTATCCCCCAAAATGTTACTGTCTAAAAGATTGAAGCACAAATGATGAACTTGGGTTTGGCTAGTCTAGAGAAAAGAAGAAATAGGGGAGACATGATAGCAGCATTCCAGTATCTGAGGGCTGCCACAAGGAAGAGGGGGTCACATTATTCACCAGAGGACCAGAGGGTAGGACAAGAAACAATGGCTGGAAACTGATCAAAG